TGAAGCTCTTCCTATAAGTACAATGCACTTTTGAGGCGATTAAGCGAAATCTGATGCCGCAGATTAAAGATGGGACACAGACAGCCGACAGCAGACACAGACAGAGATTCAGAGAGAAATCAATGCAGGAAAAAGTGATTTCAAGGGGTTTGCACTTTGCTAGCCAGAAGCCCCCAAAGAGCAGCCCCATTTGACCACCTTTTCTCTCTGTTTTGGTGGGTTCAATGACACCTTATGTCCCTCTGGTGTTTTCCACGTGAAACACCATACATTTTCCGCCTTTGCACACAGACTTTTTTCGTACAAACGAAACTCCATCTAAATATAATTGGCTAAGGGGAAAGAGAGCATAGCATAGCTATCGGGTAAAAAGGCTGTAAAAAATGCTATAGATAGAGTTGGGGATAGCAGATAGAAGGAAGAGAGCATAGCGCGAGCTGCGGGGGTGGATTGACAGAGAGCTCCAATCAAATTTACATGTTGTTTTATTTTTACAAGACAACAAACAACCCCAGGAATGGGAACACCTCTCTCTCTCTCTCTATGTAGTATTATGATATGCTATATCTGCTGGCTGTTGCGCTTCCATTTGTGCGCTGAAGCATGCCCCACGGCCTCACAGGCCCCACACTTGGCTCCAACCAAGAAGAACCGAAGCGTATAGCGGCTATAAAAACACGATCTAAATATATAAACACCAGACATACTCGTAGAAGGAAGCATAAGACACATCAACACATCATAATATACCAAAATAGGTTGCTCCAAGAGTTTTCAAACATATATGATGTATAGAAGATCTCATGGAATGGGAAATACAACTATAAATCTTGGACCAATTTAAGTTCCATTCGTAATAAATCCCTATAATGAATAATTCCCTATTAAAACAATTCCCCAATGCATATTGACATTGTCCTGCAGTACCCTTTAAATCTAACCAAAACGAATGTAGCTGTAAGTATAAGGCCCTAAAATCCAAGTTTTATTCAAAATAACTCTAATTTCGTACATTTTTGAAAGTGTACTATGCATTTATATAGGAATAAATGGAAAGGCATGACATATAATACTTCTACATATATGCTGCCTGCCTCTTGCTCTTAGATAAGCTTGGACGACTCTTCCGCCTTTGTTTTGTTGCGTTTATCGAAGCGTTGCAATAACTACTACTTCAAAGGGTAGAATCCCCCCTCTCTCTCTCTCCCAGAGACCGTATATAATATATCATATAATGTAAGGCCTCCTCTGATGATACGACGCGTCGTCTCTTGCATTTCCACTTCTTGCCGCACTTGACTGCACAGCGACTGCGCCTTCGTCTCGTCTCGTCTGTTGGTCTTTGTGTTGTATTTTTTCTGTAATTAAATCACTCAAGCGTTGAAGGGCGGCAGGGTAGGGGCATCATACAACAAATAATGATGTTGTATGTAAGGGGGGAATATGTTCAAGAAGAGAGGCTTCCACATCATTATAATGTGATTATTACATATTACAATGGATACAAGAGCCACTTCTCAAGCGCTACTTCAGTTTTCAAGCATTTGTTTCTTTTCAAATATATCTGTTAAATGTCTAGCTCAACTTATGTTTATGAATATTGTAAAATATTTAACATATTTAAACCATTTGGAACAGCTGCAAAAATCTTAAATCTAGTTCTAGTTCTTCCCTGAAACGACATTAAAGTTTTCTTTAATGAATAGCCGAAATAAAGCCACAACCAAAAAAACCCGATTTGACCAAGTTTCTCGATGGACAGCTGCTGCTTTTGGTTGTACGTTGGAAATACGATAGATTAAATACCCGTAGGTGGTGTTCCGATGGCAGTGATTTATGCATATCGCAGCCCGATCTCCCGCCTCTGCTCCCCGTCGAACGCCCTCCTAGTGGCCCGTAGATAATTGACCCAAAGAGATGCCTTTTTTCATTTTGGATCTACTACGATACGATACATAGGTATTTGTCCTACCTCCCTCTCCACCACTTTTACGAGTTCGCCGGTTGCGTGAGTTAATTGCAGCTGCCTCTTGCTTCGTTTTACCTGTTGTTGCTACTACCTGAGTGAGTTTTTGGCTGGCCTTTTGTCTTACGCGACGCGCCGCCTGTTGCAACACCCTTTGCCTCCCTCCCTGGGCAGCGAGACTATGTTTTTTTTTCTTTTTTGTATCTAATTTATCTATAAAGTGCGTTATCTCCGGCGAGAGATACAGATACAACACTGTTAACAATTTCTGTACTAGAAATACATGCAGAAGGTACTCCATAAGAGGCATGAGGCATATGCTGCCATCTTTTGGTTAATTAACTGATAAAAGTTAATAACAATTTGGGTCGAGAGAAAGAATAACTATACACATGGGTGATACTAGATACTTGATACTCTGTGGAGGAGATCTGTCTCTTTTGTGGGGAATATACATATGTAAGTATTCGATACCAGGAGTTTCTTTCCCATGGAATTCCGACTACATCTATTTGAAATTAAAGCAGATACATATTTATAGACGATATCCTCTGGTAATCTAATGGGCAATCTTTTATCAATTCTAAAATTGAAATCAAATTCCCCGAAACCCCAGAAAAGCCCCCTAATTTATAGCACTTGTGGTAGTTGTAGTTTACTATTATTTACAACTGCTCCTTAATCAATTTTCAACCACACTTAAATGTAAAGATAACTAACTCTACATTGCACATGAATCATCCTTAAATCAGGAACATCTTTCTTTGTAGATGTAAATATAAAACAATTACTTGAAGTTTGAAAAGAGACTTTTAAATCAAATTTTCCAGCGCAGAAAGTCCCCCAGTCAAGTGTAGCCCCAACTTTATAGCAACAATAGCAACTAATATTTGCACTGACCGTTATCAGATAACAGAAGTGGAGTGAGTAAATAGAATTGGCACAACCACAGGCAACCCAACCCTCCCCTTATCAGCAGCTAATGTCACAATTATTAGTGGATGGGAGTACACACAGATGTGTGAGTGCAGTGTGCGAAATGCCCAAGAGATGGACAATGACACATCGCGTACCATGAGCTCATAGGCTCACAGCTCACAGCAAAACGAAAGAAGAGAAGAATTACCCCAGAGGAAGCAAAAAAATTACCCCAAGAAGGCGACAAAAATTAACCAAGAGAGACACAGCCGGAGAGCGCAAGCAAGGAAGAAGCGTGGGTGCGGAGAGAGCAGAAAGTAAATCGCAACAGATGTATAATTGTTGTTCCTCATTCTATGGGGGTGTGTGTGTGTGTCTGTCTGTCATATGTTTGCACTCTTAAAATAACAATCGAAGGTCGCTTCGCTATTGTACAACAAGCCAGCCCCAGCCCCAGCACTCTCTCGTAAAAGGCGAGACTCTGAAAAAAGTAAACCGTGAGAAGCAACAGCTAAGCTACAGCTACGTTCGATCCTAAGTAAAAGCCAAAAGCAAAGATAAACTTTTTAGCCAAAGCAACAGCCAAAGCCAAACGGGCCAACAAATAACGAAAAATGTAATAGAAAGAAAATACAGGTAAAAATGCAGGTAACAAACAAGACAGAAAAAAAAGTAAAAACCAGCTGATTCCAGACAGCAGCAGCAGCAGCAACAACAACAAAGTAATTTCATTGATTACCGATACGCAACGCACGTTCAAAATGGAATGGAAGACATAAACCATGCCATATACCCATCCCCATCAGATCCCATACCATACCATCCAGCGGCTAACACTGAAGCTCGACTTCAAAGCTTTGACCAGGCAGGCACACACCACACCTCTTCCTGCCGCTTCCCCCCACCAGGCAGCAGGGTTCTTTTTCGTAGATCGTTTGCTGGATACCCTTTAAGAGGGGAATAAGCAGAGAAGCAGATTAGGGCATCCAAAGCTCGGCTTTCCTAGTTCTTCCTTCTTTTGTTTTGTGTGCGAGTGCCTCTCGTCTTCTACCTCTATTTCTTTGCTCTTTACTTTGTGCCGACGGCGGCAACGGCGCTTCGCGTACAACGATTTCCCCGCCCCCCCTTTAGTACCAACAAAAAAAGATTACAACAAAAAATGCTGAATGGGGAATATGGGGGCTCGGGCTACGACGGCTCCGGCTCGAACCACAAGTAGAGGTCGGTCTTTGCCTATGCGTCATTGGGGGCTTTGGCTTTGGTTTTTCTGGTTTAGCTTTTAAGACCAGAGAATCCAGAGCGTACTCAGAGAGGATCGGGAATGCAATAGAGAGAGAGGGAGAGCGAGCGCCTGTTGGGGGCTTTTTCTCTTTTCAGCTGCTGCTGCCTGCAATCAAAACAACAACAAAATTGTTCCCCGAATTGTTCCCACATTGAAGATAATCGTTATGATAAACAATAATCGTACGTTTGGTTTGGTTTGGTTCCTTTGCCTTTCGTTCCCTCTTTTGGGAAGATTACTCTTTTTCTGATTCTACTTCTCCTTCAGATTCTTTTTGCTTCTCTGATTCTTCATACAATTTGCGGTTAAATTTTTGAAATTTGTTTCTTGAAAAAGTGCATTTCTTTTGAATAAACTGACGTTTCCGGCAAAAACTAACTTTCGGTTGTTCTTAAGGTTAATTTCTTTAGAAGAAACCTTGAAAAAGCAAAGCAAAAACTAAGGTTATTCAACCACTACCCCCCATTCATAAAACATTAACTATATTTTTAGTACAATTTTAACCACTTGAGAGGGAACAATTTGCTTTTGTTTTTTGACTTGTTTGTTTGACTTTGAAGAATCGGCGGAGGAAAAATGCTAATGTATGCAGAAAGCGCCGCGCGATTGCTTTTGATTTACTTATTTATCTTTGCCGCATTAATTAACAAACGTTTCAGTTCAGTTCTGAGATCCGGCTAATATTATGTGGGAAACGGAATCAGTCGTTAATGAATTATGTATAGGGGGGTATGGGGGGCCTTTCAGTTTTTTCTGTTTTTTCGCACGCTATAATTACTTTTTCCCAGAGCCGAGCATAATGATAGCTTTATAATAAATGGTGTAATTACTAACCGAGTCCAAAGCGCTTCTTGATCTTTTTGAGCAAGTGCATCTTCTTTTTGCTGGACAACTTGTCTTTGGTGTTCATCAGCAGCTCATTCGATTCCATGGCCAGGACATGGGCTGCCTGCTGGGCGGGCGTGCCATTATGCTGATGATTCTGTTGATTGTGATGCTGATGTTGATGGTGGCTGCTCAGGTGCGGATGATTCAGGTGGGGATGGCTGCCCTGGGTCATGTAGTTGGCTGGTATATCCGAAAGACCCATCTTAGGTATTATTGCTTTTTTTTTTTTGGTTTTTCTTGTGAGCGGAAAAGTGTGATGGCGTTTGGAAAACGCTAACAGAAACCTAACAGAGAACTGCTCTAAAGCTGCTTGCAAACTTTATTTGGCATTAAATTAATTGAAAATTGTTCTTTTCGATTCTAATAAAACATTTTGGATTTTTGTTTTGGGTGCTCGTTGGACGCAACAAACGACAAAGTACACGAAACAACGGACACTCGAACAAGCAACAACACGAACCGAACGACAGACGACAGAGACGAAGCGAAGCGAACAACCGATTGCTTCGACGTTCAAATTTTAACTGTTCTTTGGCTTGTCTTGGCTGCACACGGTAGAGCCGCTGCCTGGCTGGACGCCGTCACAGCTGAGAGACGAATAGGCACCCGCAAGGCAAAGGCGAAAGGCATATCACACAGGAGGTGAGGCATGTGCGCTCTCTCGGTTGCGTATTTCTTTACGGGACTCCATTTGAAAGATTAATTTATTGATTCAGTGAGTTACGAAATGTATTTCAGGGAATAATACATTAGATATTTGCAAGTTACATATGCAAGTCAACAAATAAATAATTCATATCAAAAGTTGGATGAACTGTGCAATATTTCAGAGTTTTTTTTAATGATTTTCAGAATATATTATAGGAGAATATTGACATACATTGACAGACAGCTCCGTCAAACCTCACCTTCTTTTACTATATACCTTTCAAAAAGGCAACACAAACACAGCGTGAATTTCAGTTCTCTCTCTTGCAGCTGTTTCTTATTTACTATGGTTTCCGCTCGCTCTCTTTGTGCCTGCCATTCGCGTTTATCGTCGTTGAGCCCTCCCTTATAATTCCCCTTTGTGGCGCAGCGTCTCGGCTTGGCTCTTGGCTCTCCTTTTCTTCTCTTGCCTTCTCCTTTGCTCCTTCCAATGCCTTCTCGCACACCTTGATCAGCGATTCCTTTTATGCGCATTCTTGCTTCTAGGCCACGACGCCTGCCGCCTGCATATTGCTTTTGGCCAGAATGCTCTGCTCTGCTCTGTACTCAGCTCTCTGCTCTACCCCTGTGATCTCTACTAACTGTTGTTTTCCCTTCTGTCTGTCCGACTGGCTATGTTTCGCAGCAGTTCAAGCCAAGGTTCAAAGCAATTCTCTCTCTTCTGTTTTTGGGAAAGGTTATAAGGTCCATCATTCCATTCGACGGTTCTCATATACATACATATGTATGTATATGTTTATATATATGTACGTATATATCAAGTGTAACTGGGGGGAAACTATGTAAATTGCCCCCTTAATGCTTTTGATCGTGAACTTTGTTTGGGAATTTTGTACTTGAGGAAATATTTTAGCGTGCCTTTGCGCTACTCTAGTGGGGCAGAGATAATATCCCCTCAAAATATCCCCATTTTATGATGATCATCCAGAATTCTAGTGCTTTCTTAATAGTTTTTAGTTGGAAGGAGCAAAAGTTTACATTCAGGATGAGATATTTTTTAAAGAAAGAGCTTCAGCAGATGATAATTGCCTTATTTCCATAGTTTCCTTATAAATCTTTAAATTAAAATACCGAAAAACTTTACATTTTCGACAGATATAAAAAAAATAACCACAAGAACATCCCATCTTCTCTGGAAGCCTAAACCCCAAGACCTTGAACTGCAATTATTTTGAAATTCTTAGCTTTAAATTAAATACAATTTTTGCCTACGATGATGGGGATGTAGGAATGGTTCGATGGCATTTCTTTGAGGCTTTCTGTGGCTCTGCGGTTAGCAGCTTGTGCTGCAACTGCTGTCTGCTGTCTTCACTCCTGATTATCCTTTATAGATGGATGCCACGCTGCTCTAAAATGATGATAATTGCTCAGAGAGTGCTCCTCTTTGACCACCACCATCATCATCATCAGCAATGCTCTATCCAAGGAGCCTTGGACAGAGACAGCAGAGCAGCAGGACAGAAGCAGACTTGACAGCAGATGCAATTTTCAAGATCGGAAGGGATCAAGATCGGAACCACCAGAAGAGGAGGAAGCAGCCGGAGGAAGGGGAACAAGAAAGCATTTAAATTTTGATATTAAAGTGGAAATGCATATTCAGCATCCTGGCAGCAGGCGTGCGTCCTGGAAATACAGCTGCTGCTGCTGCTGCTGTTGCTGTCCCCTGATCTCTCCTCTCCTGTGTGCCTGTTGTGTGCAAAAAAAAAAAGGACCAATATATTGGCGAAACAGGAACCAGCGGCAACCAGCAAGGAGCCCAGCGCATGGATCAACCCCAAAAAATTGTCAAAGAGCCATAGCAGAAAAGGTGTCCATCTGTGGTTGCAGTTTTCGAACACAACAAAAAAGGGCCTGGAAAAAGGGGTCTACATTTAGCATTCTCATTCGTTGTCGTTGTCCTGTTTCGATCGCTCTCTGGCTGTGTTTGTTCGCCGATTTCCAGGTGTACAAATTCCTAGATACAGAAAGGATTTTCGAAAATAGGAGGAACAAGCACATTAAAGACAGAGCCACGTGCCTGCGTGAACGACAGACGTGCGCCAGTTGCCAGTCAGCGAGTCGATAGATAATGCTGCTACTTCTTTCTCCCCGCCCCGACTCCTGCTCGAACTCCATTTATAAATACGCGGCACGGCGTATTTCTGCTGTTTATATATTCATATTTTGTCAGCAGCAGGCTGGCAGACAGGCACACAGACCCCCTCTCAAAGGCAGATGGCAATTCTTCTTGATGGGTGGGGGGGAGATATTACAATCGTACACAAGATACAATACGAGTGAGTATCTTCTGCTCTGTTTCTGTCTCTGCTGTTTATTTGCCTTTTGCTTAAAAATTGTTTATGTTTAATTTTAGATTTTTGGCACAAGGGAGGCCGAAATGGAGGCCTCCCCAAGATGCCTTTAGCAGAACATATGTATGTACATATGTAGTCTTTGGTCTGGTCTCCCACGAACATCTGCCAACAGCAAGAATATCTTCGTATCTTCTCTCGTTCTTCGCCTCAGTCTTCGCTTAAAACCCGCATTTATCTTTTTGCCTTTGGCCTGACAATTGTCTACTTTTTCGACCATTGTCTTGGTGGATGTCACAGCCACAGTGCCGATTTACCTTTGCAGACAGTTCCTTAACCTCCCTCCAGCTACTCTCCGTTGGTGTCCTTTCTGATAAATAGAAAACCCTGTCCTGTCCCTGTGTCCAGTCTGTGGATAATTGCATGTATTTTTAAGCAAGCGTTTAATGAAAATGCCAAATGATATTTTGCACGCCAAGTGTATATATCTTTAGATACATTCCGGCCCAGAAGAGGGAGTTTTTTTGTAGGGTAAATCAATGATAGATCAACCGTCTAAACTTGTGGGAAATATAAAAGGCAATGCTTCACAAAATGTCCGGGAAATATGTGATCGATCTCTAAAAAGGCAAGATTAAAAGATAACAAAAGTTCTACCACAAAAAGGTAGAAAAAACGAGGAATTATTAGACCAGTTTACAAACAAAGTTCCACCAACGGTTCCACAATGAATGGTAAATGTGTTTTTATCATTAGATATTTCTCAGATATTTCCATTCCGTCACATTTATAAGATAACGAAACACACACCCTCTCCATTTATTTTCTAATAAAACCTTAAAGATAAACAGACAAAAAAAAAAAACAGAGTTACACAAATGATATTTTGATTGAATTTCCCTACACACATATCACATTATAGCATATTATATCCATAAAAAAGGGGGACTCTTATCATAAAAGCCCTCCTCTTCCACCCTTTATGATCATGCTGTAAGCAAATGTTTGGGGTACGGCTTCACCTTGGGGCACGACGACAACTCAAAAGTGTCTCTGATAAACCCCATGTCTGGGCAGTAGATAAAAATGGGAAATATATAGAAATAATGAAACGTTTTCTAATCATCGGAATGGCATCTAAATTAAATGGGGAATGGTAGCTAAATAATGCAAAAAAAAACCGGAATTCAACTATAGAATCTAATAAAAGAGGAAATAGTTTCAAGTGTTTCTAGAGATAGAGCATAGGCCTAGGCCTACGTAGATTGGTGATTATTATAATTTAAAGAGAGATTTATATACCTAAAAATATGAGAGGCAGATGTCTGTCAAATCCTTTGGACAGCTGAGAACTTCTTCGGTCCACCGATAACTGATCAATATCCCACCACAAACATAATTAAGTAAAAACTGTAGCAAATGCCGCCAAATGTTTAATTAGAAAACGACATATGCAAACGCCAGCGAGTAACGAAGAAAGGGAAAGGATCCCAGATCCCAGCGAGCCCAAAGGAGTCGAACCCAAGGAGTGTCTGTGTGTGTGTGTGTGTGTGGAGTTTTATATAAATAAAACTCGAACTAATCCCAACAGGACAGGGACAGGACACAAGAGGAATTGAAGAGAACCGAATTGCGCAAGCACTTGAGAAACGAGAAGAGAATGGAGAGACAGACAGCAGAAGGAGCATATGCAATATGTACTCGTACTCGTATTCTGTGTATTTCCCTTTTTTCCATTACCTGGTACTCGATTAAAATTGGGGGATATATGTAATGCAATGACGAATCCTTGAATCCATATGGATCATCGATTGAAATTAAAGAACTAGACTTTTGTGTAGAGACAGCGTACTACTTGTAGATAATAATATATATGCACGATGTTTACTTATCTACCCATTTTCATAGGGATCTGGCAAAAATATGTATATCCCTATGTATTTCTTTATGCACTAACAGTATCCTTTAGTCGATAGAGTTCTCCAAATGATCGCTTCTTCTCCTCCAATTTTTGGGATACCTGCCGAGACAGCAGCAGTTGGTTGTACTCTGCATGCATCTTTGCCTCTGTCTCGATCGAAGATCTAACAAAAAGGGAATTCATTTGAGGGATGCATTTGGCAGCAGCAGAGAAGGCAGCAGCAGCCCTCTCTTTCACTTCCCATCATATCCGTATCCGGAACCTCCATCCTCCATTCCTCCGTCCGCCACGTCCTTATGCTCATACGCTAATCAAATATCATCGAAAGAATCGTAGAGAAATACCCGCCAAAAATCAACACATGCGATCGCAGGATAGCAGGATCGCGGGGATCGAAGGGAAACGGCATTCCGTTAGGAGGAAAATATTGGATTTTACTGTGTGTGTTGTGCTGGCCAAATGTTTGGCCTTTTTTCATCGGGGGTTTCAGCTTACACAGTTTTTCCATTGCAGTTTTTTCCCGCCTGGCAAACTGGAAAAACTCCCTCATATTTCGCAGATACAAACAGGACATTTGGCAAGTCATAGAAAGACAGAGACAGAGACAGAGAGAGAGAGTCCTGACCCATAGAGGTGCTCGCCCACAGCATGTGTCTTTGTGTTTCATGGTCAAAAGGAGAGTTCGAATTCCAGTTATCATCCTACCTGAGCCCCGAGCGCCTGCCTATTGGAGGTTGCCTCATTGTTCTGATCCTTCGTCGTCCTTTCCTTGGGCCATAAACTCCTATAATTTATTGTCTACAGCTGCATGGAGACTGTCTTAGGGAATAATTGAAACTGATTTTTGATGGAAGAACATAGACTGTGGAGTCGTGATGATGATGTGGTAAGAAGAGCAGGTATCCTATCCATTCAATGCACCTGTAAGATTGCGCCCTTCATTTGCGACTCCTTTCTATAGCCCTGTGAGAGAATCCCTTCGACTCTATTCCTTTTTTTGATTTTTCCCACTTCAAATCAGTGATTTTTTCGGGGTATCTAAGCTGCTTAAGGGTTTGATGTTCGTCAATTCTGATAAATTGGGGAGTAAGCTCAAAAAATAGCACTACCCCTTGTACCCTTTATTAAACTGGTTTCTCTATAAGTAGCTCAATTTATGATTAATCCTACCTTTAGACTTCCCCCAAAATGCATTTAATAACTATCTATGACTAAGGAACCCTTACATTATAATTAACTGTGTGTTTTGAAGTGAAAGTCTTAAGAAATCTTAAATATCAACCCCTATCCATAGGAAAGGTGGGTAACGATTTTTTTATACAATTTTATTTTTCTCCCAAATTCGAATTTCCCTTACGAACCATAAAATAAAACCAGGCTTTCCCTAAGAAAATATCATACCAGTACACGTCACAAAACTATCGCCACAGCGACACACACCGGCATTGTGCCATCTCTAAGGGCGAAACAGCTGTTCACCTGCCATGTGTTTGGCTGTGTGTGTGTGGTGGTGGTGGGAGTCGAATTGGAAGGTCACAAACCTTATTGGAATGTCCCCAAAGTCGTTAATTTCATGATTTGAGGTGTTTGGACTTACCTATTTTACTAGCCGACTGACCCATTGCTTACTATAATCACACAATTTTTGTATATTTTCGCTTTGATATCCGAAAAGGCACAAAATGACAATAACAACAACAGCAACAACGACACATTTACAATTTCTTTGGCATCGAATTTTCAGGTGGCCGTGGGCCTTTGCGACTTCCCCACAAGCACTTTATCAAATCGATCAATAGAGCAGGAGTAGGAGCACATTATACGAAATATTTGGATTAGTTATACACCATTTTAAAGCATTTAATTGGAGGCAGTGCAGCGATTTTTTAGTGGTGACACCGGCTTCACAATATAAATTTTAAGAGTGACCATTGTCAAATATATAAAATATACCTTCTGCAAATTGTATGAGAAGTGTGACCAAATAAAATATACCTCCTACAAATTTGTGTGAGAAGTGTGACCGTGGCTTTATCGACCTATCGATAGACAAGTGTGGTATTTTCATGAGAATTGTATGCGATTTTCGTGTTGGCAAAATGCAGTCACACTCCTTCCGCAACCTTCCTTAAAAAAATAAGTGTAAAAAATGGCATAAAACGCAGTTTTCACTTGTAAATATCCTATTGTTTTAAGTGGTTTGATTGCCTAAAAGCTACGGACACCGCAAAGTGTTCGAATACAGATTTCGCCTGCAGCTGGAGATAAGAAAATAGCTGGGGGAAAATGGCGGACCCCTTGAGCCTCTTGCGGCAGTACAACATAAACAAAAAGGAAATCATCGAACGTGAAAATCAAATCATATTCGGTGAATTCTCCTGGCCCAAGAGCGTGAAAACAAACTACCTCAAATATGGGTAAGTCGCTGTGTAAATTTCCCTCCCAAAAAGTGCAATATGCCAACGATGCGAATTTTTTCTGCTCACCTTTATTTGCAGTTCGGGAAAGAAGGGCGCTCCACGTGAATACTACACGTTGGAGTGCCTACTGTATTTGCTGAAAAATGTTATGCTCCAGCACTCGGTGTATGTGCGTCAGTGTGCCGCCGAGGATATACCCGCTGTGAATCGTCCGGATCGTAAGGAGCTCCTGGCCTACCTCAATGGCGAGACGCCCACATGTGCCAGCATCGACAAGAGTGCTCCTTTGGAGATACCCACGCAGGTGAAGCGGACGGCGGATGGCGAGGCCACCAGCGGCGAGACGGCAGCCAAGAAGGCGCGCTTCGAGGAGACGCAAGTGCAGAAGGTGCGCGAGCAGCTGGCCGCCCGTTGGGATGTCAGTCAAAAGGAGACGGCCGTCAATATGGACAACATCAAGTCGCTGTCGGAGACGATGTCCGTGGAGAAGATTGCCGCCATTAAGGCCAAGCGTTTGGCCAACAAAAGGACCACCATCAAGCGGACGGACAACGACGAGGCCATGGGCACAGATCTGCGTGCCATACTCGACTACGATGTGGACTCGACCAAGGATATCATAAGCAGGGAAAGGCAATGGCGCACACGCACCTCCATTCTGCAGAGCACGGGCAAAGTGTTTGCCAAAAACATATTCGCCATGCTGCAGGGCATCAAGGCACGCGAGGAGGGACGCAATCGTCCGCAGGTGCCGAATCCCATCAAGATGCCGGAGCCTGCTAGGATATCCAAGCCACAGCCGCAGCTCTCCCAATACAATCGTTACGATCAGGAGCGCTTCAACAGGCAGAAGGAGGAGACCGAGGGCTTCAAAATCGACACACTGGGTACCTATCATGGCATGTCGCTCAAATCCGTGACGGAGGGCTCTCTGGCGCAGCGCAAGGCACAGGGCGGACCGGGCATGCCCGGTGCCGGACCAGCAGGAGCGTCGGCCGCAGCCCTCAATCGGCCAAAGGAACTGCTGCCCACAGCACAGGCGAGGCAGCTGCCGGCCAATGGGCCACAGAAGCGACCATCGCGCACACCCATCATCATTATACCTGCGGCCAACACCAGCCTTATAACCATGCTCAATGTGAAGGATATACTGCAGGAGCTGCGCTACATGTCCAACGCGGACAAGAAATTGCAGGGCTGCCCGCGTGATAGCGAGGTTCTGCTGCAGGTGCGATCATTTCTCCATTCTCTTGATGTTTAATGTTTTTATTAATCTTTGCAACGTTTTTGGTTGGGCCTTCAGCGCAAACGAAACAATCAGACCGTGTCGTATCGCGTGATTGATAATCCCATCAAGCTATCGCAACAGGACTGGCAGCGTGTGGTGGCTGTTTTTGTGATGGGTCCGCAGTGGCAGTTCAAAGGCTGGCCCTGGGATGGCAATCCCGTGGAGATATTCTCAAAGAGTAAGCCTGACGACGCTCCTCTTCCCTAAATGGGGGAAACTAATCATTGTCTGTTTTTCCCTTGCAGTTTGCGCCTTTCACTTGTGCTTTAGCGAGCTGAAACTGGACGCCAATGTAGAGCGTTGGTCGGTAACGCTGCTGCGTCTATCCCAAAACAAAAGGCATCTGGATCGTGCGGTGCTCAGCAAATTCTGGGAAACACTTGACAAGTATGCCTCACCTGTAGGATCTCTAAATTTAAATTAATAAACATTTCTCCTTTTGCTTTTTGCAGATATATGGCCAAGTATAAGCCCGATTTGAGGTTCTAGACTCCAATATAACTATTCTGCTTAGTAATCTTCACTGCAATGATACGAGTACGTAGATTTAGATCTTTGAGACCGCCCCTCCCCTACCCCGCTGAGACTCCGTCACTCTTTTTGTAATAAACAATTGCACTTTTTACACTCATATTTAGACAGAAACGCCAGCATATGGTGTATACACCATGGCTCTCTCTCTCTCTCTTTTTTGTTTGCTTCCTTTAGAAGTACCAGGAGTGGAATTACGACACGTTGATAGACCATGCGGACCCTTAGAAGTTAAGCCACCAAATTTTGTTGTTCGACTTGTAAAATGTGAGCAAAAAGCAGCAGAATTCAAGCAAATTGTATACATAATTTAGTGATAATAAAAAGTTATAAGAAATGCGAATGGAAATCTATTAAATTAACACTTTAAGGCTTTAATGTGATGCAGCCTTGTGGAAGAAATGTTTTTCAGCCTGCAATTGTAGCTTTCGGGAGCGAATTTAAATTTCCGTTAAATTAATCGAAAATCTGATTCAATGCAGCCCTGACTTGTGACACCCCAACAGCGATAACTGAAATATTTTTATAATCTCTGATTATATTTTGCGATATAGAAGTAATTGTGGCTCCAATTGGCGACCGCCAATGAGATAGGAAGGCGAGCGGCTTGTCAGTTAGTCTATTAATCTATAAAATGTTAGCTGATTAAATAAGAAAATACTATTTCAGAACCTAAGTGCTATGCCATAGACATGGAGGATCTGCCTGATCCTTTTGTGGGAGAGTGCATCAGACCCGGCGGCTGGCCGCCTGTTTCTTGGCCGCTTGGAGAGTGTTGTGCATCAGCATGGTGACGGTCATGGGTCCAACTCCGCCGGGCACTGGGGAAATGTGTCCTGCCACTTGGCGTACCTCTGCGCGGGAAATAAAAGTGTAAAGATTAGACAAGTTTCAGGGGGGCCCGGAATGACTGGGCGTACTCACCCTCAAAGTCCACATCGCCCACCAGCTTGTGTTTGCCCGTTTTCTCGTCCTTGATGCGATTGATTCCCACGTCGATGACACAGGCCCCAGGCTTGATCATGTCCTTGGTAATGAGACCGGGCTTGCCAACGGCCACCACAATGATGTCCGCCTGACGACAGTGCTTGGCCAGCTCCTTGGGCGGCGTATATCTGTGACAGATGGTCACCGTGGCATCCAGCGCCTTGGTGGCATTCTTGCCATCCGAATGCATGAGAATGGCCAACGGCAGGCTGACATTTTTGGAGCGACCCACCACAACGGCATTGCGGCCGTGCGTCGCGATGTTGCAGTGCTCGAGGAGCGCCTTAATGCCCAGCGGTGTGGCCGGCACAAATCCATCCATGTCCAGGGCCAGGCGACCCATATTGATCTCATTGAAGCCATCCACATCCTTCTCGGGAGCCACAGCATTGCAGATGGTGCGCTCATTAATGTGATCCGGCACCGGCAGCTGGACAAGCACACCCGACACACAATCATCCCGGTTCAGTTGCCCGATCAGCTGCAGCAGCTCCTCTTGGGTTGTGCTGGCGGGCAGCAGCTTCGTTTCACTGGAAATGCCGACCTCCTTGCAGGCCAAAATTTTGTTCTTCACATACGTCTGGCTGGCTGGATCCTCACCCACAATCACAGCCGTCAAATGGGGCACGGGATTCCCAGAGCTCACAAAATCTATGACTTCCTGGTGCAGCTTTAGGCGTATCTCAGCGGAGATCCCCTTGCCGTCAATAATTTGTGCCATGTTGCTGCAAGAGGGGTACAATAAAAATACGGGTGGGTTAGGGAGGGTCATGCAGCAGGAATGTCGCCAGAGATAAGATGCTGCTCTAGGGGGGATACCCAAAGCATTGCAGTACTGTTTGTAATTCCCCTTGGGTTCGGTGATTCACCTTGCTTGTTTATCAGGTTGGGTTGGAATACGTTTAATACTTTGTGCTTCCCCTTTCTAGAACGAATGATATTCCCAGACAAATATATATAATGTACTTGTGGGTGTATCTATACTATGGTAAACGTGATATCATCACCCCCAAACGGCTATAAAGATTTGCACGTACAAATTATCACTTCCAGGAAATTTTCCAATTCAAAATATACTTTTATTTTTCTCATACAAATATAATATATATTTTGCTCTTTTAGTCGTTATGATTAGAAAACTTAACTAGTAATTTATTGATCAAATATACGTACATATATGAATGTATGTATTTGCTTTTGTAACACATTAAATTCTATAACTTAATTAAGCAGAGCCGATGCCTCTGAATCGATTGATTCGAGGGCCATGGCAAAGGTGCTGTACTCCACACACTTGGCATTATTCAGTATATAATCGAGCATGCTCTCGGCGCTCATCCAAAAGAAACTTAAACGCTCCATGTGCGAAATGCGTGCCAAATGCTTCCATTTAGGCTGATTGGCATACGGTCCGCTGCCCATCGGTTCGTTTAGCAGTGTCTTTAGCTTCTCGAAACGCTGCTTGTTGCTCAGCAGCAGCTGAAGATTGTATTTGGAATCGATGGTCGTCTCCACTTCCGTCTCGTTGCCAACAACTTCATTGCCGTCCAGTTCCATTTCGCTGCTATCCTCCTCCGACGACTCCGTTTTGATGCCCATAACTTCGGTTTTGATCTCGAGCGCTGCCTCGCTGCTCTCATCGGAGGAGGTGTCTAGCTCCTCTTTGATTTTGTTGGGTATCCAGGTCATGGCCGCCGCATCATTCTTTTCCGAATACACTCTGTCCAGCAGCTGCAACACCTGCTCGTCGCCCTTGCAACGCGCCAACTCCAGCGGCGTATAACCGGCCGAATTGCGCGACATTAGTATGTCCGAGAGGGTCGTGTCCTGGGCATCTACAATGAGCACAATCAGTGCATAGCTCTGCTCGAGCACCGCCATGTGTAGGGCATTGTTGCCGTCTTTTGTATTCGCGACACTAATCGAGCTGCGGTCATATTTGATGAGCTTCTTGGCCACATCGTACTTGTTCTGCCGAATGGCCATATGGAGTGGCGTCAATCCGTCGTCATTTTTGAGCGTCAGGTCCAGCCGTACGGTGGGCGTGCCAGTGCCACCCTTCAGGAAGCTATCGATGCAGGACATTCGCTCCTCCTTCACAGCCATATGCAGCGGCGTATTGCCCGCATGATTCTGCTGATTTGGACTACATCCAAGGCTCAGCAGTGGGCGAATGTAGTATTCGCGATCATGCTGACAGGCCACATGCAGGGCACTATCCCCATCCGCATTGAGGGCGTTGTTCGCCAGATCGTGCAGCTTAAAGTATTTCATCACCTCAATGGTGCGGATGGCCTGCGTCAGCTGTCCCTCTGTCCGCTGGCTGATGATCACTTCGTGCAGCAGCGTGTCGTTGTTATCGTTCCGCAGGGCGTGTTCCGTGAACAACTCCTCCACCTGCTTGCGCGAGGTGTCATTTGGTGATCGACGATGTGCCTCGTAGATCTTGAAGATTGTATTTAAAAAGTGTGGCGTCAAATTGCGGTTGGGTGCTGCTGCTGCTGGGGTAGCCGGTCGCTCCGCTGCTTGTCCATGGCCATCTTCCTGAAGGACGCCATCAGGATGGTGGAGCAGACTGTCCAGACCGCTCAGAGTACACATCCGCTCAAGTTCATCGCTTCTCGTATCGCAAAGCTCGCGAAATTTTTCCGTTGAGATCAGGCCATTGAGTACGCTATCTCGTCCAAACTCCTGGCTGATGGTCTGATCGTTGTACCCGACGGACGTTTCCCCCATGGGCACTTGCTGTTCCTGCTGCTGGTACGCCAGTGTCCTGGGCAGATCTCCCGAGTTTTGGGCACTGCCGCCCGAACTGCTGTTGGTGGCCATCGAACATGTGCGCCTGCGTTTACGCGAGGCGATGGCATCGCGTGGCTTGTAACGGAACTGCAGCGGCGGGACGGAGCGCTCGTCGTCCGATGGTCGTATCAGCTCAATGAAGACATTCACCTCTCTGTCCACATCCTTGTCCTTATAGGTGGGCGTCTGGCAAACGATGGCATACTGATGATGGACATCCGATTCACGGAACTTGGCATACGACTCCCACACAGTCTCCCCATCCTCGTTCTCCTCGAAGAAGCGCACCTTGATGTTCTTCTTGCTGACCTTCTCCACGAGCAGGATGAGCTCATCGTTGCCCAGCACAGAGCCCGTCGGTTTGCTCAGCCGTACAATGCGCAGCTCTCCCGTTTGTGCCGATTTGCGATTGTTGATCGCATTACTGTAGACGGGCGTGGCAATGGGCACCCAATCGCCATTGTCCTCGATCTTGTAGGCCTCAAAGCAGAGACGCACCTGGAAGCGTACCACAGAGTAAGTAACGAACGAGAGTCTTTCCTTTGGGGGAGGGGAGGGGGTTGTACCATACCTGATTCAGATTCATATCCTTGGCCTCGCGCTCTGTCTCCTGGTGAAGCGTCTGCTGCTCCTTTTTGGACAGCTCGCGACGCTTCATCTCGAACACCCGGCGATCCTGCTTCTTTTTCAAGAGCTCAGCGTATATAAACTTCTTGGCCGTGTGTATGATGCCCATGTTGATGAACTGGGCCACATAGCCGCGGTCCTTGGACACGTGCAGGTCGTGCGGATCGCACACATCGCGCTCCTCCTTGCGCACCACCAACTGGTGCGAATGTGGGCTATCGAGGTTCGTCTGGAAGAGGCTGCACCGTATCACCGCCGGTCCATCGTAATTGCAGAGCGTCACCTCGGGAAACGTTTTTGGTGTGCGCTTCGAGTTGGCACCGTTGAGCGAGCCATGTGTTCCGTGCATTTCGCTCTTGTAGCGAAAGCGAAACTTTTCCACAGGTTGTTCCACGATGCGCAGGGCAGCGGGCATGTGTCCCAACTCCGAATTGGCCTGCACGCCATTGCTTCGTTGGTATCCAAAGTTCGGTATTGTGTCGGGGGCCTGGGCGAAGTAATGGTGATCCACAAACATGTTTCCAATTCCAAAATCCGTGGCATTCGTGGCGTTGCTGCCCAAAAAATTGCTGGCATCGATATTTAACAGCTGGTATGGTGAACTCTGCAGCGGCGGCGGTTGAGGTGAGTTCGTCTGTGGTAGATTCAGATTTGCAAAATCATTTTGCATCGTCAATGTTTCGGGGGATTGTGCTGGTGACATTGTCGATGTTGCCGAATTTTCGCTGCTATATCCACTCGTGCTGGAGGCGTCGTTCACGTACAGAACGTTCTTGCCCTTGTCCAAATCGTAGATGTGGTTCATTTTATTTACAACTTAATGATCCCTTCTCACATATGTGTATATGCACGCGTATGTATCTGTTTGTTTTTGAAATTGCGTCGCGGGTAAAAACTTAGCGCCCGTAGCGCTGGAGCAACAAAACGAAACTGAATCTGTGAATGGTTGGCTGTTCGTAACGATGTCGAACGTTCGGCTTTAGGTACTTCCCCGACGTTGATTGGGTGCTCGGACGGGGAAATTATCGGGCTGAAAGAGAGGCAGGGTACACTTCAGGTGACTCATGGGTTTTTCAGCTCAGCAGCAACGTGGGGTTTTGTTGTTGTTCGTGGAATTTTCAATGCGAATAAATTGTTTACATAAAGAAGTCACACTATCACTATCAACGTATTGAAATTCGTATTCGTTCCCACACGCGCAAACACATCTACTATACACATTTATAATATATGTATGTATGTATATATTCTAGGTAAATATATATACGGGAATTCGTCAAACGGCGTGGAGAACCGCAGAAGATCGATTCGCAGCAACTGCACAAATGAGCATGAAATATATACGAACGAAAACGTAAAACAAGTAATCTCGCTGTCCGCCCCAATCGGGGCTGATAACAGGTTTAAGTTGCGGACGCAGAGCTTTTTGGTAGGCGCAGAGCTTTTTACGAGTAAAACGGACAGACTGACCGACACGAGTCGCAGGCAGGGCGGAGTATAGCTATATTATATTTACAGAAGCTACAAACAGGCACGGCCTAATTTGAATAACTTATTCAACACACCCACCAGAGCTGCCCTCTACGCTGGTGGCAACTCTGCTCAAGCAACAGCTGTTCGGGCTCCATACACAAATATATGTATATATGTGTGCTTATATGCTTTTTATATCGCGTTTCGTTTTCTGGAATTACTTTGTACGCACCTGCTGTTAAATAATACTTTTGTTGCATACCTGCGTCCGGACACAGCCGCCAACGAGGTGACTAAGCATTTAAGCATTTTCACGTACGACTTAACATATAAACAAGATACGCAGAACTCGGTATCGAACTTGACCCGCGGGCGATAAACTGATAAATGATTTCCACACGCGACAAAAATAAGCTTAAAAATACTTTTGATTTTATGACACTGTTGCACTTTTTATTAGTAGAAAATAGATAGGACTAACTAATTGCACACACCCTTGACCCCTCACCCCCCTTGTTGTCAAGAACCATATACATACATATGTATGAATGTGTGTGGGAGAGTGTCTGTCGCGGAGCGGACCATGTGTGAATCACGTTATCAGTGGATTGTTTATTTTGATAATAAATTAGCTAATGTCAGGCCCAGCTTCATGTCTGGGAGGTAGCTATACTACAGCATGCCAGGTTTAAAAATACCCATGCCCAGACGTATAAAAATATGGTTTATTTTGCACCCATCAGCAAATTGTTAATTAATTTGGATTTTTTTTTTCACTTGCACTGTACCTTTTGAGATTCTGGAATATTTCCCTAGGGACAAAGAGTGTAACTGCACTATTGGATTGCACCAGACTGAGTGATTTGTTGCACCAAATATGGTCTGATTGCCACCGAATATATGTTCCCCCCACACGTGTTGCTGGGCACACACAACACAACAGAAACAAATTTTGGATACAAGCTTTTACTCAAGCGCGCCAGAAAGAGATGGAGTGCGACTTAGCGCGATCGATCTGTTTCACTCTACTCCAGCCAAAATGCTCAAACACGTGCCGCAAATAGTTAATGCACCCTCCCTAGGAAGGTTGGAAAATTTCGTTCCATACCTTTAGACACGAGCTATTTTCCAGCCAGTTGTTTTTCTCCGGCGGATGACGAAATTCGGAAGCACGATTGCGGCACAACGATGCGTTGCTGCAGTCTGTCTGTGACGTCAATTCAATCCCTAGGGGGTCGGATCGGCTGTCTTGGCCTGATAAGCCTTTGATTTGATGCAACCCCTCAGATTCGTACGCCATACCTATTGGGGGAGCGTGGGGCGCCTGGTAACAATAACTGGCGATCGGACGATATTTGTTTAGCTAAAGGAAAACAGCAGCCATGCTGCTCTCCGGCAGGCGTCATTAATAATGTTGTTCCCCATGTAAAGATTGCGTTCGGTTTTGGGTTGAAAAACATGTTATTTTCGAAAAGAAACCTCAGATAAGCAAAGGAAAGTGCGAGTGGGGATGGCAATGAATGGAATTAATGTCATGTGCAGAGCTAAATGTGGAAATTTACACAGAAAAACCATTTTAAACTTACCTTGTAAAGCGCATTTTGAAGGAATTTTAGTATCTTTTTACAGGATTGAAAATTAACTTATTTGGTTGTAACTAACTTTGAAATGTTCAAGAGAATCACTTGTTGAACTTGTTGCACTTGCACGTTTTCGCGTTTAAATATTTGAAAACTGCGGGCTGCTGCGGTTTTATATCGCTTTTTTAGCTCAGTTTTGGCGATACCGAGGCATCGAAAAGTATCGTGTACTAAAAGGAGTGACCGTGAACTGATATACCACCAAATATACCAAAAATTGAATTTTCTTAGAACACCATCATCGGTATTTTTGACTACAAATTTGCGGACTCTAAATTTTCCGCAGATGCTCTTCTTTTTCCTTTTTGCGGAAAATATATCTTCTTCTTTTTTGCCTACTTTTGTTTTTAGAGCTGCCAGATCGGTTCAAAGCGAATCGGTAATGAAACGGGTGGCAAAATATCATCGGGGCAGCCCGCAACTACGAATTGTACGATTCTGGCAGCGCCACAAAACGACTTCACATTCGTTTTATGTTGTTGAACCTTAATATGTAAATAATCCAATAAAAAGGACTTCTGAAAACTTGCAAATTTTGTAGAAAAGTTATGTATCTATCGGATAAAATTATTTGTTTAGGGCTGAGAGTCCCAGCTAGCTATTAATATTAAACTGAATATCAAAATTGAGGAATATCAACGTTGAATGTTTTGAAAAAAACAATCGATGCTATCGTAATAATATCGGGCTCAAAAATTTATTGGAAACCATTGAAACCTTTAAGCCTAGTACTCAGATCGAAAAACTGTTTGCTAGCAAACAGTTTTCATATAGTTTTCGAGCGACCAGTGGTGTGACCAGAGGTGTTTGTTTTATATTTATGAAAATTAATAAAAATATATTATTATAATATCCATATAATTGTCCTTTATATAATGCTGCATTAATTAGATTCTATTTTTCTTCATTATTAAAATATTTCATTTGGTTTTTTGTTCTCTAATTGCAATGTTTGTAATGTTTTTTCTGTAATTTTTCAGCTTTTTTTGGGTCTTGTACAAGTCAGAAATGGCTTTTTTTTCCTGATGAAAAGCTGGCAGCACTGATTGTGCGGTCTCATTTATTCGTCAAAAAGTGAGCTCCAATTGGATTTGTATAATTCCCAGTTTGTGTACAATTGGGGAATATTTGGATGATCAGCAAAGCAACAACCAGCGAGGACTTGTTCTGCTATTATGCAGTAAGACGCTCTGCGAGAAAAATGAACTCGCAGTCTAAGAGGAAATCGTTTCCGTTCAATCCCCCGCAACCTGGTGCAGTCGCAACCATGCATTTTGGTTTCAATGCAAATACAAATTTCCACACCGAGTCTGAGTGCACCACCAAGTGGCCGCAGCACAAACGCAAGTCCGAGCAACAGGCGGCAGTGCTGTGAGTATCCGTATCCTCGCCCATCCGCTCCAATCGCCGCCAGACACTAACGAGAATTCTGTTTTTTGCAGCCCACCGAAAATGCTAATTACGGAGAAGCAAATTACACAGCACTTCAGTGGATTGCAGATTTCGGCCGACGCAAAGAGCATCGTCGGTAGCGGTGGTGGTCCAGGCAACAACAACAGCGCCTCGATTGTGACCGGCGGCCTGGCCACCGACGATATACCATCCACCAGTACGGGCAAAACGCATCATCACCCGAATCCAGCGTATCAGATGGCGGCCTTGGAACTGGAGCAGAAACTGCGAAATGCCAACCGCATTATAATCTGTGATGAACTGAAGCCGGGATCTGTGCCGGGCCCCCTGGCCCCTGGTGTCATACCCCGTGAGTGGCTCATCAAATCGGTTCCCCGTCCCTGCACAGCCCTGGTTCCATGGCAGCCATCTCCACTCCAAATCCCCATGCCAGTGCCCAAGCTGCCGCCACCGCCGCACCCGATGCACCTGCTGGGCCCGACACCACCTCTCCCTGTAGATGAACTCGACGACTACGACGATGATTTGGAGTTCTTTGAGAACAACAACACTTGCAATGTGAATTTAAACAAGTCTGATGAGCATATGGACGAGGATCTGTAGCCATAGCTAGAAGCCTAAATGTAAACGTGAAGATCTGAATGTTCGTAAGTGCAACGCACGAGGGTTTAATCGCATGTAAAGAGAATTCTCATTGCTCCTATGCTCTTTTTTTATTTGTTTGCTTACACCCTTGCAGAGGGATCTGCAAGAGTATCAAGCGCCTCGGCCCCCGATGATAATAATAATGATATATAGCCCTTTTCATGTCACTCTTCAACTATTTTGTATTACTATTTAAAATAGATGTATGTGATTTTACCTAGCTGGAGATATCTGTGGCAGTCAGTGAATATGTGCTTCTGTTCGAATAAAGTAAAGCAAATATAAATGGTAGTGAAGCTGGTTTTATTCATAGTTGGGGCGATTAAAGTCTGGTAAAGATCATTAAGTAGGGGAAACCAAAATGAGCCCCTTTAGATCGTTTATTGCTCTCTTTTGAAAGGAATTTTTATAGTCTGAACACAAACAAACCGATTAACTTCAATAACAATAAACTGCAGATGTTGTTTTATGGCACTGCCTGGCTCGTGGATATTTATTTCAAATCACGCGCGAACAGGAGTGTTCCAGAGCCTTCCAGCTATTTCCTACCTGAAGCAGGTATATTAAATTGGTAAGAGCGAGATAGTTATATACCACACAGTCGTGCTTATCGCACGAAAATACCGACTACGGGAGATACCAAATAATAGAGCAATCCAATCTAGGTCAAAAACATGTCAATACGAGAAAAAGTCATTATACCTTAGGTCTCAATTCATCTTGGAATAACCAAAGTTAAAATTAATTAAAAGAAATAGGGTATACAAAGTGCCATACTCCACAAATAAGTCGTTGATATTAATCAAATGTGTAGTTACCGTGTACAAAAATACTAATTTTTGTTGACCTTTTTTGTTTGAACCTTATTTTATAAGGAATCCAATAAATAGGAGTCCTTAAATTAATCAAGATTGTAGAAAATTAATTTGTCTATCTGCTAAAATTATATGTTCAATGGAGTTTTGGTGTAATATCAACTCGAATATCAAAATTAAGGAAAATACGTTTTTTCCTTGCATTTTCACCAAATTCTATTTAGTGCACAAAAATACCAAAATCGAGGTGGATTAGCCCATTGTCGACCAGGGGGTATTTAATATTTCCACGAAATATATGTAACTTTAACATATTTTACGCATAACTGGTGAAAGATGTCGGTGGTCATTTTATTGTTGTAAGTTCTCGGTTTCTGAGGTCACTCGAAAAAACAAATCAAGTGAAATATTTATTTTTCCAAATATTAAGGCACATTTCAAATTGACCGCCAAACTCATTTAGCGCACCAAAAATACTGACATTTTTTGCTCTCAATTCGTGGAGAGTTTGCAAAATTTTCTCTCAATTCGTGGAGAGTTTGCAAAACTCGCTCTCAATTCGTGGAGAGTTTGCAAAAATTGCTCTCAATTCGTGGAGAGTGCTCTCTTTTCAGTGGAGAATAGAGTGTTTTTGTGGAGACTTTCCCCCATTTTCGTGGTGTGGCAGCATGTTGCTGAAATTTTTCCCATACAAAATCAAATGTATCTTACGGGAACGCGTATGGAATAAATATTCATTGTTGCGTCATTCCATCGTCATACTTGGTTGACCAGCAACACTGACGTCACATTTAGTCAACATTTACGTTTTATGCTTTGGCCGTTTTTGTTTGAACCTTAATATGTAAACAGTCCAATGAAAAAGAGTTCTAAAAACTAACCAATCCTGAACAAAATTTATGTATCTATCGGATAAAATTATTTGTTTACGGCTGAGAGGGCCGACTATCTAGTAATATTAAACTGAATATCAAAATTGACGAATTTCATATCACAAAATATCACGGTATGGCAGCCCGCAGCACCTACGAATAGCACGAGTCTGGCAACGCCACAAAAAGACGACAAATTCGTTTTATGCTGTTTTTGTTTGAACCTTAATATGTAAATAATCCAATAAAAAGGACTTCTGAAAACTTGCCAATCTCTTTAAAAATGTATGTATCTATCGGATAAAATTATTTCTTTATGGCTGAGAGTCCCAGCTAGCTGGTAATATTAAACGGAATATCAATATCGAGGAATATCAACGTCGAATGTTTTGAAAAAACAATCGATACTATCGTGATAGTATCGGGCTAAAATAATAATTAAAAAACCAAGTATCGGTATATTATGTAGTATATGTTTGGTATATTTTGGTATATTTCGGAGGGTCAGGCGGTATATTCCCTCCATAAGTCCGCGGTCACACTGATCGCCAGCATAAATACGAAGCAACCCTGAAAGAACCGCAAGAGTCATGGTTGGAAAATTTGAGAGAGCGTACCGATGCGCCAAGAATCGAAGAAGATAAAGTTAAATATTGATTAAAATTTCTGCTACAAAAATATATATATGTAATTATATATTGTAAATGTGTTTAATTTAAGTGATATAAATCAAATATATATGTGTAACGTTTAATATTTTAATACGCGTCAAAGTACAACGAGTGAAGCTAACCGCACACACACACAAAGAAAAACGGGGTACTTTGCGAGCAAAAATAAAAAACAACCACACAAAAAAATTGTAAAACTAAAAACGCTGCGAAATAGACAGACGGTGGTGTACATAAAAGAGTTTAACAAAAATCCGAATCAGTTGAAAGTGTGATTTTTTTGAGCCTTTGTCTGTAAGTGAAGAGAAAGCTTTAAGCGGAATTACATATAAATAAATACGAAGCCAGCCCGTCGCCATTTTGAAAGTGATTTTACAATACATACACAAAAACACATACACAACACACACACACACATCCAGCGAAAAAGCCCCAACACAACATTTCCGTAACATTTTAATGTGAACCAAACCAACAAAATCAAGGCAACTTTTAATCCAAAAAACAAAAACTCAAAACCATTTTGTGTAACCGAAATCTGTATAACAAAAGTGGCTAAGAAAAACCCCGCAGCCTGCAGTGCGAGCAAATCGATAGCTGCGACACACACGTATACATATAATATACAGTGAAACCCGTAGTGGAGCAAGCGAGATAGCACTAGCAGCATCAGCACATTCGTGTGAAGAGGAGGTCTACAGCGAAAAAGTAAGTCTTGGGGAGGGGAGGGGAAATATACATAGCGTACGTACGTAGCTTTTGTTGACGTAAATGGCACATACGCACACACGAGATAACGATGTTGACAGTCCCCCTCCTACAGGTTGCCGTCTCCAGTGGGGAAATTTTCTATCCCCCCTGCTGTTCCTTCTTTTCTATATATATATATATTTTTTTTCTTTTGCTCAAAATCTCGTTCGCTTTTATTTCATTTTTCCCAAAAATAGGACCATTCCCGAACGAGCAGCAGCAGCATCAGGAGCAAAAGCGGTGGAAATCAGTTTTTGGTAAAAGGAGTTTGCAAAATTAGAGCTAAGGATTAGCTTAAACAGAATAACAGAGATAATTCAACAGACTGATAACAATACATAACGTTACAAAAGTTAAACTACATAAAAGTAAATAACAGAGAATTGTACATAAGAAAAACGAGACGCAAACCGGACGGAGCATAGCGCCTACGTGCCCAGCCGCCCGTTGCTCGCACTAGATCTTGCAGATCGATTGGTCGATTGGAAGCAGTGGAGAGAAAAAGGGAGAATCAGCAGTCAGAGAGTAATCAACAACAACCAAAGACCCAAAGAAGCAGCTGAAAATATCAACAATTATAACACGTGGCATTTGTTTAAGAGAGCAAGAGGCCACCCACTCCCCGAGTTTGGTTTCGATTTATAACAAAAATATAAATTGATTTAAGTGCGTGTGATATTTAACGTTAAGCATTAATTTAGCGAAATAACCAAAAACAAAAAAAAGGCAAAACAGCAGAAATTTTAAAGAGGACAGAGAAGAGAGAGAGAGAGAGAAGAAAGTAGAAAAAAGAACGCGCTTGGTAGAGCTCTCAATAAGAAAAGAGACGGAAGAGAAGAGAAGAAAGTTAAGACCAGATCAAGGAGAAGAAAACGACGGAATTACTATGACATACTCGCACAATAGCGTTAGGAACAACATCAGAATGACAACAGCATCGGCCACCAAGGCCATACGATTGAAAAAGGGCGCCGCAGGATCTGCTGCGTCCCCATCCGCATCCGCAACCCCATCACCAACATCCACCGCATCCGCACCCACAACACCCTTGGTAACTGCACATTCCAACAGTATTGCCAGCAGTACAAATATCAATAGCCACTTCCATCAGCAATCCCTGAGCGCTGCCGCATCCCCCACAACCTGTTCCGGCCTTGGCCTGTCCGCCCTGACCACCAGCAGCACCACCACAACGCCCAACAGCCGCCAGCAGCGGCAACAGCAGTCCCAGTCCCAGTCGGCGGGCTGCGCCCAGCGTAGCCGCCAGCAGCAACAGCAGCGACAGTCGCCACAGCAGACCGGCGGCGGAGGAGGAGCCTTCTTCTTTGCCAACAACAACGGTAGCGCCAGCAAGCGCAACGGCGGCAGGTCTCCACAGGGAATGGGAATGGTGGTGCGTCAGTCACCAGCGACAATTTTGGGCGGCGGATTCTCCCCGCCAATGGCCATCAACGGCGGATCGGCGCGCAAGCAGCGCAAGAGTCCACCAACCATTGGCGCCTTCGGTGCATCGCCCCAGCAGCAGCACCCCCTCATACCCACCGCATTGACGCATTTCGCTGGCAGCAAGTGCTTCGACGCCCCAGCACCAACGGCGCTGCCAAAGCCACCGCAGCACTGGACGCTGTCCAAGTCCGAGGAGAAGCTGGCCAGCAGCGCTGGTCCGGCCTTGCAGAGCCTGATGCGGACTGGCGGCGAGTATTTGTCGAGCCCCAGGTTCCATTTGGGAGGAAAGTCCTCGAAGCGCAATCTCCTCGATGACTTTGACACGCACAATCTGAAGCTGCTGCTCAATGTGCAGTCGTAACAGGTGGCTAAAGCAGGAAGGATCAGGCGTTAAGGATCAACGAACGAACACACACGAGGCGATACAACCGACGAAATGGAATGAAAATGGTGGACCCAGAACCCGTCAATGAGAATTAAACAAAATGATGTAAAACAAGAGAAAAATACAAAAAAAAAATCAAAAACAAAAGTATAAAAAATGCAAAAAGAAAAAACCTTTAAAAAACCTAAAAAAAAGCGAAACTTTGAACTTTTTTAAACCAAAAAAATGAAAAAAATTGCAAAACAAAAAAATGAGTAATGTTTGTGATCTCAAAAAGTGTGTATCATTAAACAAAAGCAGTAAAAATTGAGAGAAGCTATACGAAAAAAAACAACAACAAAACAAG